CTGAGAGATCTTCTGACACTAATTTCAAAAGTACTAGCTTAGACAAATCCCTAAATGAAAATCTACGATACTACTGAATCTTTCATTAGATATATACTGAATTTAACTTGAAATTTTTACATAAAACATGATACTTCTGGATTTACTTGAAAAGACTCCAATAACTGGTACTATTCACAAAGAATGTTTCAAATAACCAGTTTTCTTTTCTCCAATTTCTACATTTTAAACTAGTTTAGATCCTGATAATGATTATATGCAAAAAAAAAAAAAAAAAAAAAAAGTAATATAAGAAATGCTTTTGTATCATATTGTTGCTATTTTCTTTATATTAATTATTCATTCAGAATTTGTTCCATTTTTCTCCATCTTAACATAACTGAGTGGAGCTCTACATAAGTCAGAAAGTGTTTTGTCTGTGATCAAAGTTTAAAACAACCCACACAATTGCTAAACACAACTCTTTGTATGTATGTACAACTCAGCAAGGCCAATGTCACAATGAAGCTGGAATTTTGAAATTCAATCTACGTACTCAGATATTTGAGGTCAAAGTTCACGTCTAAAGTCTATGGGCTTATTGCCAGTTGTATGTCGGTCATGCACTATTTGTCAATCGAGTTTCCAATTGCTGTCAATTTACATTGATCTATACAAAAACTTTATTTTAGATTTAAATTACTTTTAAACTGCTTTTTTTGCACAGTTTTAGTTTTCTATACTGCTGAGCTCAGTTTTGTATTCCTAGAATATATCTAGTTAACTGTTAAACTGAATGCAAATGGTCATTTTGGTAACTATTTAAATGGAGTAAAAATATTTTTGCTTCATTTAAATTTATTTACTTGATAAACTGAGAGTACGTACAAGTATTTGACACAACATTATATAAAGATAGAATTAATACTTAATTTTTAGGGGTTATCCAACTGAAAATATTAAATATTAACTAAGTTTAAATTCCTAATATAAATGTGCATATATAACTCAAAGAAAGTTATATGATTAAATATTAGATCTTAATATTTAACTGAATGATACTTCTATTTTAACTACTGTATTTAATTTTGGACAATTAGCAAATGTATGAGAATTTTTACTTTATATTTTACAGCATTGTATTAAAGTCTATACAAGGATTGATATTTTGATCTAAATTAGTAACATTAAAGGTATATTCATGATAATTTATTGCAAGTAAAATTATGCAGGACACTACAGAGAAAGTACAGGATGACTGTGCTTTGCTATGTAAATTAATGCATTGCTACGTAAAAAATAAGTATTACTTTTTCTTACATGAATTTCATAAATTTTAAACATGTCATACAATTATTTACACATGAAAATTGAGTATAATAATAAAACTTAGTTAATGACATTCAATTTCTATAGATAAAAACACAGAGAGAGATTATGCCTCTTGAAATGACTAATGCAAAATGACTAATGCCTCTTACAATTTAAAACAAATTTAAAGATTTGTATTCATATTACACATTAGAATATTCAGTATTTATATTTGGCAATCTTCCACAATTTTTATATTTTAAATCAGTTATGTTCTAGAACCCAAAGATGGATATTTAAGATGGTTGAGAGCACTTTGTTCATTGAATATTTATTAACGGATTATAGAGGGGCCTGTCTTGGATTTCTCCAATTGTCATTTGTCCAGTTTAATTGGCTGCTTGTTTTTGAATAAGTGTATGCAAATATATAGTAAAAATTCTAAAATTAAAACTGCTTTAAAGAATTTATGACATAGACAATGCTAAAATAAATAAATTTTTCCATAATTTATTACTAAAAAATAAATTTATTAGTGATTTTAATGGCAACAAAATATGTTACAGTGATACTTTCATTTAAAAAAAATATTCTATTAAAATATACTTTGCTTTGTAATATGCATTAATAAAGTATTGAAACTTCATTAAAGCAGTTGTTTAAAAGAAAATTTTAAAATTAATCAATATATTATCAACAATACAAGAAGTTTATATAAAAACAGACAGTTCACAGTATGGTTATAAATTACATTGTGCAATTTCTTCAAAATAAAATATATATAACATTGCTTTTACATGTATTTTTGAGTAGGATCAGGACATATCACATATTTTCTTCAAAATAAATCAGAATACACTGGTGATTCCAAACCCGTGTTCCGCAAACTTTGCCCGAGTGTCATACAAACAAAAAAAAAATATGTTTTTATTGGAAATTTATTCTACCATACAACAACATATTACTTTATTTTTAGACAATTCCTTGTTTACTATTTTATTCAATACAATAAAATTTACTGCTTTATTGTTTTACCAGAATAATAAACATGGAATTGTTTACCGATTTTTTAATATATTGATGCTAATGTTTTTCATAATAAAAAAATATATGAATGATGTTCTGCAGCCTCAAAGATCAAGAACTACTGCAACAGATACTGAAGCATGGTTATATATTTTTTTTATTTTGAAAAAGTGATATGATATAATTACAAAATTTATCTTTAATCTTGAAAGATATTATTATTGATAATATGCAAACAATATTAAAATCATTTTAGCAATGATTTAAAGGAGCCACACACAAATTAACTGTTAACAAGTCAGGAGTTTATCAAGATAATTTTTATATTGATTAGTATGTTAACTGTAATAAAATCTTACAAAAACACCTGCCTAGTTATGTTATATGAGTTTTCTTATGAAGTGACACAACACAAATTTAAAAATTCACTCCGAAAACTTTATTTTCAAGCTTTATCGAATAATTGGGACAAAATCAAACTCCACTTATAAATTTTATCAGAGGCTCTATTTTAAAAAATTAATTCATTAAAGTAGTTGTTAGTAATTTATAACCATACTATGAACTGTCTGTTTTTATATTGTTGATAATATATTGATTAATTTTAAAATTTTCTTTTAAACAACTGCTTTAATGACGTTTCAATACTTTATTAATGCATATTATGAAGCAAAGTATATTTTGATAGAATTTTTAAAACGAAAGAGGCTCAGATAAAATTTAATCAGAGGCTCTATTTATTATCTAGCTGCATGTGAAACAATTTAATATTTTTTGCACATCTGCTTTGATGGAGACACTAATAAAACAATTACTAACAAGATTAAAGTTTAATTGTTTGCAAGGTAACTTTAATATTAATTAACATATTATTTGTAGTAAAATCTAATAAGAGTTCTAAACAAAAATAGATGTCACATTATAATTATATAAATTTTATTTTAAAGTAGCTTATATTTTTAAAAAAATTACCTTTACAAAGTATATATGCAAACTTTATTGAATAATTAAAACAAAATGAAATTGTAATTCTTCCAAAATCTTTATTAGAGATGAAATTAAAGCAGTTCTTTACGAGGTATTTTAATATTATTTTACCTATCTCTTTTAGTGGAGTCTCATAAAACTGTTTACAAGTCTAGAGTTTAAACTGTTTGCAAAATAATTTTAATATTAATTTGCATATTAACAATAATAAAATCTTATAAGACATCATATAAAAATCTATCGCTCATAGGCTGTAACAGTAGAATAAATCAAAAAAAATCAAAATAAGAAAAAGTTTAAAGGTGTTTTAAAAATAAAAATTTAATATCAATTGTCCATTATCACCTTCTGTAAAAAGGCAAATTCAAAAACCATTACATAAAAGTTGTTTTAAATGTTTCTCGCACCTTCAACTACTCTACTTTTGACACACCTTTTGAGATGTGCCACAGTTGATGGATTTTTTTTTTTTTTTTTGTTTCTATAAAGATCTTAGGAGTTGAGTCAATTTCAAAAAGTAAAGTTTGTTGAAAAAGCTTTAGAGCAAGAATTATAGTTAATTGGACTGAGGTTACAGAACATTAAAAAGAAAACAAATCTTTTTGTCAACACTGACACAACATTTTTTTGACAAGTCAAAAAAATGCCACTATTGAGGATCATCCTTTATTCACAGTTCAAAACAAAGGCTTCCAAATGCCATCATTGCTGCCTATATACGTATCAACTACAAAAAAGCAAGAGTGACATTCACGCACTCTTGCTTCATTATTGCAGTTATTATCGAACTAATAGCTACACCGACATTGCCGTCAGACAGAGTACTTTACGTATCCAAAATGCACACCAACTCAAAATTTACATTTTCCGAACCGCGCCACTACCGCAACCGACGTCGCAGTACAGTTATACGCATTTTATTTCGGAGAAGCAAAACGATAATTTTAAAAATATCTTTTACCGACGGCAGAAGTTACTTCTAGGTAATTTGCGGCAAAACCGTAGCTCCGAGACAGCAGCACCCGGGATGTCGTCGGAGCCACACGCCACGCCCGCCGGAGTAAAAAACGTCAAAGGAACCGACGATCTACAAGCGACCTTTACGAGACATAGCAGCGTAAAATACGGTACAGTCGGCACGAAGGCATTTCTCGCATTTTACAAGTTCCAAGCAGTCTCCGCATCCTCATTCGGACCCGCACGGATGCCAAATTCATACACTAAATATACAGCTAACTACCTAAAAGTAACTTCTACCAACATTTCTATTAGACACCCCATTAAAGCAGTTTACGAGATAATTTAATATCGGTTAGGACGTTATCAATAGCAAAATCTCGAACAAGAACAGAATACGATGCGTCGAGGATTATTAATTAAAAAAAAAATCAATAAGTTGCAAGAGAAGAAAGCAAATTTACCAAGAAAAAAAAAATGGAAGACATTAAACACGTTGACACATTGAATAAATGTCAATTACATTTCCTCGTTTGTCGTTTAATATGGACGACGGTTTATTAAATTTATATCGGTTTAAACACAGTTTAAATAAGGAAAGCATTTCTTTAGTTGCTGCCAGAGACGTCGTTCAAACGTCTCGTCAGCCGTTTGTCAGTTAATAAAAGTTTCTTTTTTTACTTTAAAGATGTTATTGATTACTTTAAAATTGCTTTAAAAGAGATTTTGCAAATGTTTACCTGATAGATGATGGAAATATCGTACGATCGAACATGAAAATAAGTCCCTAGATTTCGGCTACACTTTCTTTCTGACAAGATTGTGTAAACAACGCAACCTATACGATTTCTCGGGGGGGAAAAGCATTTCCTGTTCGATGTTAATTCCTTTTTTATGCCGTTTCTTAATTTATTAATAATTACATTTTAATTACAGACGTTAATTTAAGATTTTTGAGTTAATTTAATAAGTATTTGTTTTGCTAATAGAATTATAATTTGTGAGAATTGAGAGATTTAACCACTAGAGGGCCGCCTGTGGAAATTCAAATTTTTGTATTGTAGCGTGGCCACCAACGGTTGCGGTAACGGAAAAGTCTTCTCTATAGACGCTAAGAGGACCTTTTTAATCATACCCATCGCGAGTTCGGTAGGCCCACGCCAGGGGCGACCGGATAGTAAGGGGTTTGATCTGACATATCTAGAACGGATCGCTGGTGAAAAATTCTTTGAATCCTCCGCCCGTATTCGAATAATCCGAGTCCCCAAATCGGCAGGCTGATTCCTTTACCGCATCTGCAAATATATCAAGATATGTCTACATCTGCGTCATTACGAACCACAATCCGTATTATCTTTGCGAAGAGAGACACGATCATTTTGACGAATGTCGTTTTGTGTCATACACCGCGTCACGCAATTTGAACAAATAACTTTGTCTAGCGAACAGAGTCGGCTGCAGCCAACAAGTAACTAGGTGCGTCCACACCCGTGTTACTCCGCGGCGCGCTTCGTACAAAGGATGTTTCGATGGTTCGTCGAAAAACCGACAAGCGATGGATCGGTGGCAAACCGTTTCTCGAACCTTCGCGTAACGTTAGATGTCGTGATGCGGGGTCTTTTTCCTCATCTAAACTGATGTAACAATGCTTTGTTCGCGACGTTGTTACATAGATGTGGACATGGCTTTAGATGTCGAGTGACGTAATGTTGCGAGAAATGGTTACAGCAATTGAATTAAGTTTTTAATTGTCTTCTATTCTGCAAGTATTCTTCGGGACTTTTATGAAAAATTATGGTCCCTATTTAAGTGTTCGATATGTGAAGAAAGCCTAGAAAGTTATCTGGGCTCCCGCGCGGTTGTTTAGGCGCAAGCCCACGACCAATTTCCAATGTTTAAATAATGGCGTTATTCACTCGTCACTGAAAGGCTAATGATCGAATCGTCGAGGCAAAATATCACCAGATTCGAGATGTACAGCCCGTAATAGACAGGCTTAACCTGCAACGTAATAGGCATCAGAAATGATGAATTGTGTTACTCCAAATAGGACTCGAATTCGGATCCTATCCGAAATGAATACGTGGTTACTTGTAACTATTGTATATAATCATACATGCAACGAATCGTAACAACTTTCTATACAATAAAGCAAACTAACTATAAAAAGAACAAAAGACTAGGATTTACTGAGATGGGAATACAACTCGAATACTACTTGATGTAAAATTATGTAGACGATAATTATTTTAATGTAAGATGTACAGTAAGACTCCGCTTAACGCTGCCTCGGTTAACGCGGTCTGCTCGATGCCTAAAAGGCGCTCAAAATTTACACCGATTCAAATTAACGCGGTATTTCATCGATTCATATATAATACGATTATTCCCAAACACGAACCAATCGGCAAAAAGTAGCAATTCGTCGTAGCGCCGTACTTTCCTTAAATCTATGTTTATTTGGTGCAATTTTGGAAAAAATATGACATCGTGGATGCCGTAGGAAATAGAGACTCGGCTCGGCAAGCATTAACCGATAAATGCGCGGAAGAAGTTACGGCCGAAGGTATCCAAGAATTCTCAACCAGAAGAGCCTATCGCTGTATCGTGTTGACCAAATTGTCAACTTAACCCTTTCCTCTCTGCGGGCGTTAGTTTGTCCTTTTTGGCCAACCCATTGTGAATTCGGCCGGGCCCACAACGGGACAGCCGAATTGCGAAGGACTACACTCGACATATTCGGACGGACTACGTCCAGAAAAATTGGGGGTTTTAATCCGTCCGGATCCCCCGGAGCGATAGGTCGTCGCCTTAACCGTCTTCAGAACACGCTCGTTTCGGCATTAAAAACCGATGTTATTCTCTTCGTTACAACGATTGTCAATAAGTACATTGCCAATGTCATTGTAAATTTAGCTCTGAAATCACTTGAAGTAGTACAAACACGCATAATTTAAATAAAATAGACGCATAAAAATTCATTTCTAAAACATAAAATTGATTGCTTTAGTTAGGAGGGATCCGGATTCGAATCCGCTTTGCATTCTCGCGACACTTCCAATCTGGATTAATTATTTGATAAAGTAAATTACAGTCGACCTCCTATAACACGGTAGATACGTTCCGTTCTTTATGAATCCATTTTGTACGAGTCCTTGCCAATCACGACCCGGCACGTATGCACTTTACGGACTACGGCTGTTTGAAAGGTTTTCTTCCATAAAATTAATCGATTCCTAGACTAATTCGACTCAACATTTCCAAAACACGTATATTTTTGGGGAATAATCCGTATAAACTATGCTATAAACAAAAAATTGTAGGATTACTTACCGAGTGTGCACCGTTCGACGTCGCCATTGCTTAAGCTTGTTTTCGTCGCGGAGCGGCGCACCAAACGGCGGCCGCGATTTCTGATAAGTTATTTTTCTGCGAGAAATTCGTTGAACTTTGGAGACATCATTAATAGAAATAATTTTAATTAATGGCCGTTGAATAAGAAATGTTTCTTTCACACGAAATGTATAAAATTACAGTACCTAATTTACATACTGTACAGACGATGTTAAACTCAACTTACTCGCCTAAACTCTCCGTAGCGTGGCGCTGGACGGCGGAAAGTAGTTCGGCTGCCCGATGACGTTTTACCGAATTATAGGAGTTTTTTTTACCATGTTTGTACGGATACCGTCGGAATTTTTTTGCCCTGATATAGGAATCCGAACTATAGGAACCCGTGTTATAGGGGGGTCGACTGTAAATCAAAGAAAAAACATTATTATTTTTAGTGAATATTTTTAATTTTCAGTTATTTTTTTTTCTACTTTTGAAATAAAATGCGATTTGCATACCGGATGGCAAGACTACGGAATTTTAAATAAATTGCTCCATTTTCTTACCTTAAACGAATTCATCTAATTTGTTTACACAATTTTAAATTAATATTTGCCGAAAGAGCATTCGAAGTAGTCACGAAAAACTTAGAATGCCAGCAACAATTCGAAAAACATTCGAGATTACAGTTACATCATCGCGTGTACTAACGCGCACTTTCACAACTTATAAATTTTCATTCGAAAAAAGAGTTCGGTACTTCCCGCAATAGGGTTTTTTTTAAATTGTTTTTAAACTCTCCATTCTACGGGCACTAAGCGAGCCCATCGTGGGTTCGGCCGGGCCCGCAATGGGGCGGCCGGTTGGCGAGGGAAGGGGCGGGACGTATCCGGACGGACGACCCCCGAAAAATTCCTGCGGACTTTTCCACCCGTAGATACCGGTTCCTCCAGAGCGGTAGGCTGTCGACTCGATTGCTCGTCCCCGCCATGGTGTTGGACAAATGGTAAGAAAAGGGACCCGATCACTGGCGAAAGATGTTTCGGGATCTTATGTGAACTCGAACCCAAAACCTTTAGAATGACGGGCAAACGTCTTTGCCTCCTCAGTCATTTACGAACAATGATTTTCGGGATTAGATTGACCCAGATATGTCGAGTCCGTTCTTTATTATTTCTTTCATCATACTCGGCCGAACTAACGAAAGGCCTTCTCTGTTCTATGGGCATAATAAAAGTATCGTGCCCATAGAACAGAAGAGTTAACGGATCAATACAGTAATAAAAACTAAGAAATATCCATTCTCTTCACCCAATTTCATACACGATGTGCCGTTAATTAATATGTAATTATAATAAATTTGTTATTTTTATTTAATTCGTGGTATTTTAATTTTTAAAATTATTTCGATATATATTTTAAATTAATTTTAGATACGATATAGTGTCGCGGCGCCATTTTGTTACCCTCTTCCTCTCCTCTCCCCGGCAGCGTAGCCTGTTTCCAAACGTGGTAGGCCTACACATTACACAATACAACATTGTACATACATATTATATGTGTTGTATCGTATAATGCGTGTATATTATACAATACAACACATACAGACAAACATTACACAATACAAAACACGGGGCGCAACAAAATTAGAGTTGGGCAAAGCTCGGCTCGGCTCATTTGGTAGAACTCTATTATACTGTTCGGGACACGATTATATATATGCATGATAATTTCTATATAATTATATTTTCTAAAGCATAATAACAGTATAAGTATTACAATTTACAACATTTTGGGACTAAAGATGAGTAAGAAGTTTTACTTAAGTGTTTTAATGAGAGAAAAACGAGTCTTTAATGATGTTTGTCGGTAATGATGACTGGCTAAATGGATTCCATTGACGTAAATAACGTCCAACGATACCGTGGCTTTGAAAATGACTAATCAGAATTCTAATTACACACGTTGGGAAACGTATTTACAAATTTATTTTCAATCGTATGTGTAATGTTCGGAAACTGGACATTTATATGCACTGTACCTCCATTAACAATTGAAAAACCCCGTAGAAACGACAGAATTTCCCCTTTCACGAAACTTTCTCTCCAGCGGATCGAATTTTTAATACAGTAATTACATTTGTTCGGTTGTTTGTCTCTCTACAATTCAATTATTAATACATGACAAGGAAATCGAGGTTAATTAAAATAACGTTTCTGTCTGAGGAGATTTATTTCTGTTAAATTGTATTCACCTTTCTATAAAAGTATTAAAAACGAAACTTATTACCCGTATAATTTGCCGCGTTAACGTCAGAAAGTGATTATATTTACGTCATTTTATGCACGATTTTAACTTCGATCGAGTTATATTAAATATAGAATTTTCCGATTCTAAAGTACAAACTCGAATTAAGTTTCATCTATCGCGCATCCGCCGCCATCTTGAATAGCCGGCGCTAATATAATGTCCATCGATTCCCGAAGTTATTTAATCGTATATTAAACGAAAAATTTTTCGTCTCGAGTGTAGAATAACTTTACAATTAAGCGTAGTATTTTAAACATTAGAAAATCACAAGGGGTGTCTTTTAGACGAAGTTTACGTTTCGTTGGCCGCGCTTTCGCCGCCATATCGAACGAGGAGCGACAGTCTTGGTTCGTTATTATCTAGTAGACCTTCCCGTTATCGTTAGTATGACAAAGGTCGAAAGATAAAACTTTATTACTTTTTCCGAGAAAAATTATCCAAATATTTTAAATATCGTTTTACGAAAGCGAATGGTCTCCGCATCGCGCGTCGTTCCTTTCTATTTATCCACACGCACGTGCCAATGTGGATTTGAATTCGATACGTTAGAGGCTTTCGCTTTCAAACTCCTCTTCCTCTATCCGGGAGGGAAGAACACTTCCCTTTTATAAGTTAATCCGGATTAACTTATAGGTAAGAGTCGCCCGCTCGAGGTGCTTAGAACGTCACGGGTGGATATTTTATCCTCCCTCCCGAGTCACCAGGCGAGCTACGAAATTGCCCACGTATTCTTCCTTAAATAATGGCCCACACGCTAAATTTATCTCCTCTATAAACGGAAGAAACCCATATTTATACTCCGGCATTCTTAATTTAAAGCCTTAATTCGGCCCGGCCTCCCAGTCTTAACGCCCGCGATTACGCTTAAAATCGCAGAATTTTAGGTAAATTTCGAAAAAAAAATTCCGATCGTGACCTGGCGCGCGGGTCACGTACGACTTTCGGTAGATAACACCCCATTTAAACGCGTGAAAGATGTGCTAGGAGCGTGACTCCATTCGTGCATCGCGACGCTCTTATCGCCAGCGACGATTTTTTATAACTCGCGATATTATTATAGAAGTCGATTGGGCCATGCCAGAATTTCCCCCTCCATTTGAATGCCTTATATAGAATCCTTCGGGTGGTCCGCGCGTTATAAACACCCCACAGATTGCGGATTTAGGGACGAAAAGACGGCCAGCGCCGTATACAGGTGACTGGGTATAACGACAAAAAAGTCGCTCTACCTCGAAAACAAATCGTCAAATCAGGGGGGAAGGCGAAGTGGGACGATAGAGCGCATGCTCGAATGAACGACACACACACACACACACACACGCTACAGTTAAGAAGCGAAACAGGTGGGAAGCCGACGAGTGGCGTCGAGATCGAGAGGGGTAGCGCGCGACCCTGGCAGGATTAAAAAGACCAGAAAATGAGAGAAATAACGTTAATGGAAGATCGATGAAGTTCGACACTCGATTGAAATGACATTCGAAACATTCGCGCGCCCTACATCATGCCCACTAACTCGAACAAACTGGCAGAATGTTGCGGTCTCACTGCCGGAGGGATCGTCACGTCCGTCTACACCACGGTAAGTTTTAGGTGTTACGCTAGAAAACTTAGCCGTAATTTATCCAAACGGGGGTTAAGTTTAGGGGTCGGCTGGGCGCGAGAGTCGACACGTCGTTACCCTGACATGCCAGGGATTGCCGACATTTTCCAGCACGGCGTGTGCTCCCGATCACGTGACATCCTGCGAAAAACTCGTTCCGGAGAGTGGAGCGTGCGAGAGTCACCCGTTCGAATGGGAAGCGAACGTTTTGTATCCGTAACGTTCGATTTTTTTGCCCTTCCCCGTCTAAAACTGACTTCCCCCTTAAACGTCCCTTCGAAACGCGTAACGCCTTACTCGTATTTAGAATAATGGAGAGCGTGGTTTAAACGTTAACTGGCGGCAGAATATGAAATATTAGACAGATTGCGTATGACGTAAGCCAGCGAAATACCTGGAAGGTGAATGTCCTCGCGCGTCCATCTACTATAAGAACCATTCACGAATGTCAGGTCGTAAATAACTTTCTGATAAAATTCGAGTGCTTTTTATGCGAGATAAGGCTAATAGATTACGCGCCATCCCATTCGATGTGCAGAAAATCTTCAGTTTTCTGCACATCGAATGGGATTTTTTTTAAATTTTACGTTGCCCAAAAGCGAATGGCGAATTTCTTCGAATTTAAACCTCTGGCCGGGTGGTATCTTAACACCACGCGTGTGACCAACACTGCCGATAAAACTGCGCATGCGGTACCTGGTACGGGTTACGATATACGACCCGTTACGGGTTGTAGGGGTGGAAAATTTTAGACGAAAAGTCAAGTTCGACCCGTTGCCAATGAGGTTTGTTAATAGGATCCTTGCGAAAACGCTGGCGTGACCAAGTTGCCAACGTATTTTTCCAGCGTGTCGCGAGCGTAAGGACACTAGCGCGCGCTCCGAGTGCCGAATTTATGATACAAATTAGCATAAACGCGCAAAATATGCCGACTTTTCTCTCGAATTTTAGCCTTTTATTGGTTGAAAAAAATGCGCCAGATACTCGTTTTAGCGATTCGGAAGCCATTTTTTCCACCTTGGCAAACGACTACTCGGCGTATATTTTCTTGGACTTGGCGTAAATCTACGGTTGGACGATGAATATCTTCGTAGTTCATCGAGCAAATCGAATAAATTTAGCCATTTTTCTTTATTTTTAAACTATTTGAATGAGTGAATATATTTAATTTTTCGATGCTCTTTAAATTTCTCTGCAAAATTTCAAATTTCGCATACTTGGCGCGCCATTTTTGATGAATTGTGTAGACAATTCTTCGTTGTGTACGTTATTTCAGGCACGTTTCTTCTCGAAATACGTACGAAATAACCTCCGAACAGCGGCCATATTAGTTGTTTTCGTCGGTGGCTGTTGTTCGCGGGTATATCTGCGCTACACTGCACGGTACAGTATCGTACAATCTGTACTTCATAGTATACGGGTAGAATATTATAGGATGTACTTTATTCCGAACACTATTTTAAACATCGTAACATACTACACAGTTTGAGGTTTTCAGTGGATAAGACGGCGTGTAGTGTAGTACACTTTACAAACACACACCGTGATAAAGTATATACTAGTGCGCAGTCCCGGTGTAGTGTAATATATAAAATACACTATACTGCACAGTGTTACAGTCACACGTATAGCGTAAACTATGCATACGGGCCTATACGCTACACATCATTGTAATGTATTGTAAACCTACATTTTTACGTCTCGTGTTCTATTATCGTAAAACAATAGGATCTTAAGAGGTAGGAAGCGATACTCCGGGGGTTGTTACCCTCTAGAAAACAATCACATTTTCTTTTTTTGTTTATCAGATTTATACACGAATACGTCACAGAATAAAGGAAAGAAAATACTTTTTTCCCCTCACTCGATATGCTTCTCTTCTGTCTAGGAAGACGTGAAGATGAATCGCCACGTATCGTCTTCCGGTATTTGTCGAGTCGGTCAAGCACTAAGTTACTAAGTCAGGCGTGAATTTGACGAGACGTTTATGCAAATTCGTATTTTTATTCCTTTCTTTAAAAAAATTCGAACGAATCGAGAGGGAAAATTTCTTCTTGTTTCGACAAGTAAATTGCATTCAGTATTGTAGAAATTTCCCTCTTTGGGGAGGAGATTAGTGGGTCTGGATGTCAAGGTTGACTTCTTTTGCCGGCTATGAGGAAAAAATCTGTTAAGTTCTGAGTGCCGTTTCCATTTTTTTCCACGTTCGGAGTGTTTATGAAGGGAAATTTCGATAAAAATAACACTTATAACACTTCAATTTTATTGTTTCGCGTCATTTTAATTGTCCCTCTTCCGTAAATCATTTACAGATCGTTGCAACGAAGTATTGTTTACGCGAGAATCGCACCGGAACGAAATCGAAAATAATTAAATTTTGCCCTTTGTGTGGGACATAATCGGCATAATTTCGACTGCAAACGTTTGCGAGAACTTTCTGATAAACGTTGACGGAGAAAATATATTAAATATTTCCGAAAAAAACGTTTTCACAAAAGGACACGTCTCGTACGAAAAATGCTTTTCTGCCAACGTTCCGTCGGGAGAAATCGTCGAACGTTTTTAGCGTTTGTCAGACAGAAAAAAACGAAATAAACACTTTCGTAGTGTGCGTAACAACGTTTTCGATTTGAAAATTTAAACGTTTATCGTTAACGAGAGAGGGAAGCAATTATCAGAAGCGGGGAAACGTTTATAAAAGAGAGACGTTCGACACCCGCGAATAACCTTCGAGAGGGGAAAACGTCGACGTCAAACCGAAGAAGTGTAGAAAGACGAACGTGTCCTTCGTTTTAACGTTTTCCGAAAGGCGAGTTCGTTGAGCTTGCAGAAGTCGAACTGGTTTTCTAGTATTGTTTGTTTATTGTTCCGTCTACACAAAACGCGCTATCTACGTAATAAAATACACTACTTTTGTAACTATAAACCCCCTTTCCGTTCGATTTCTCCTCTACAACACGGGAAAAAATAAAAACTAAAACGGATAAAGAAGCGTCTCGGCGTCTTTAACCGAGCCAACTGTCGGTATGTCTGTCTGTCCGCTCTGATTATTTAATCACATTCCGTTTGTACTCGGATTGAACTTTCTCCTTACGATTGGTCGGGTAATGTAGTGTCTTTTTTTAATGTTTTCGTTCTAGATTTCTTTTTGTGTTTAAACTTTCGACGAGTGACGATCGGTCGTGCGTGCAACGCTAATCAGATAAACACCAGACCACGTGCGATTAGATTGCATTGTAAACTATCTTCTTCTTTACACTTTTTATAATAGAATTTTTTCATTTTAAACTCGTTCTTTTGCCGGTGTTTAATTTGTTCCATTGTTCGTATTGTAGAGTTCGCGCGCGTCGCGCCCGGTTAAAGTTTCCGTTTTTGGCGTAAAAAATGTAAATTGCGTGCAAATTTGCGGGCGACGCGAAGACACGACATAAATTTCACTAAATTTATTCTTTTAACCTTAGGTAATATACATGGCCGCATTTGCTATGGAGCTATGGTGGATCATAGAGCAAGAAGGTAAGTGGAAGAACGGAAGGACTTTACGTCTCGTGTGTCATTTGCATAATTAAAATGTAATTTCAGTTAGTCTTCCGGCACCCGCTTACGTACTGGCAGCCGGTTACTTTTTTACCTTTCTGGTATCGCTGTTTCTACTAGTCGGAGTGTTTCTGGTAAGTTGGAAAGTTTCTATATTACGAACACGCCTTTCCCTCCCCTCCCCACACCCTGGTGTCTTCCGTCTATTGGTATTTAGTTCAAGGACACCTTCGCTTATCCTCCGCATTGCGCATAAATTATAGACGCGAACGATGCGTAATTGTAATTAACGCGGATCAGTGTTAAATTGTCGAATTGGGTCATTCGATCGGACGATTTTTCCCGATAGGAAACAATTAAAAAGAATAAATAAATCAAACAAAAAGAAAAATGGAGGAAGCGGTTCGTCCCCTTCATTTGTTACGGCGGAACGATTTTAATTCTAATTAACGAGACGATTAAAAATTTGATAATGCGGTTAGCGCGTTTATCTTCTTCTTGCCACAAATGCTTTGTTTTCGTATTGTTTTCCTCCTTCCAATGTGGGCCGCTCGTTTATATCAATCGAGAATGGGTTTCGTGGAGATTGAATACGAAGAGCGTGGGTAAGCGTGGAATGATTAAATATTGAATGAGTAGCACGCAATAATAAACATGGCAGTGGATAAGGCGGAATGGATAATATTAGGAGCGAGTGAGCGTGCAATGGTAAACGTGGAAATAAGTAAGCACAAAATAGATATACATGGGAGTAAGCGTGGAATGGATACACACGGGAGTGGGTAAGCGTAGCTGGGTAAACGCGGGAGTGGATAAAGACGAAATGGGTAAACAGAAGAACGAATAAATATAAAATAAATATGAGAAGTGAATAAATCAATAGATAATACGGTTAGAGCGTTTACCCGTTTATTATTACTGTATTTACTTTTCACACGATTGTTTTTACAGAAGAAACCCAGATACGTCTTAGGATGGTTGTTTGTCATGGCATTGTTTTTCCTACCCGAATGCGGCTTGGTTGTTTACATGAGCGTCTATCACTGGGTAATATCCTTGGTCGTCTTCTTTACCTTCCGCCTTCTCTCTTCTCACCGTTGTCTTTCCTCTTTTCAGACACTAGAACAGAAGAACGGTCTTCTCGAATTAACGTTCTACGTCTGCAGAGCGTTTTTAAACGTGAGTATTACGTATTTTCCTCCCGTCCAGATAACTAATTAAGCGAGCTGTTAGACCTTTTTTCGGTTTCACGTTCTAATAAGCCTCGGCGTATTATGCGGGATTTAATAGAACGTGATATCGGGGTACTCGTTACGTGTTTTGTTTAGCGTTTTTACGAAATTTTGTTTACTTAACGCCATTCCTATGCGGAAGTCGATATTTGATCTGTTGTTTTCGACGAATCGTATTGTTTGGATAGATTTAAATGCGGATCTCGTTTCGAATTCCTCGCCTGATAAATAAAACCAGGGTGGCATCGATCGATCTGATCGATACCGTTCTAACTCGATTCTGATTTATTGAAGTATGCATCAACCGGTACGATAGGAGGATCGATCGATGCATACTCGGTACGGCTCCGTAAGGATCGATCCATGCGCGTACATACTATATCCATAAAGATGGAGCGCGCATACCCGTGTTAAATGTGTAAGAACTGATCACACTGATCGATTGGCGCAGTTAAAACTAAACTATTTGAATTCTGGGGCCCCTCACGATATTAATTTTGATCCGACTATCTAATAAACGCGCAATTTAACGTTACATTCTTATGCACGGAATTGAATACCGAATGAAATTTCGAAAGGGAAAGAAACTGGGTTGAACTTAATTCGAATCGCTCGAGCGAAACGTAAAAAAATCGGCAGATCGAGATCAAAATCCGATCTCGACGTCACATTTCTGTCTATATTATTTCCGCTAGGAAATGTTTGTTGGCATCAAGGTCCTTCGTTACAAGTTCTTGCTCTCTGGAGGTTACGGCCTTCCGCCCTTCCTCCCATCGTAAAGGCATAAATTACGCCCTTTATATTAAGTGAAATAACAGAATTTCATTCTCTAATGTATGACGTGTCCGTTATATGCAGGTACTAGGATTTCTGTACTCCCTCTCGTCCGGGTTAGGCCGGACACACGTAAGCTAAATAAGCTGCAGTTTAGGGCTTCGTATTTTTTAAGACGATGAGAGAGGCCTCTTATTTTATTGTATAGGGCCCAAGCACTACAAAACGCTAACTCGATTCACGGATATTCGTTTTAATTGTTTGGCAGCGCTGTATCATTCGGGAGTGCGGAAATGACAGTTAGAACAGATAAGGGACATACCGCAACACTTTATTCGTTAAAACGAGAGCCAGATCTTAGGTAGATGCAACATATTCGATTTTACGCCATTTTTTTCTAGGTTTTGTGCATCGTTTGCGTGTTGCAACTCTATCGCAGATGGAAGGAGGAGAAGACGGTGATGAGGAGACTAGAAAATCTGCACGTGGTAACGACGTATATTTTATAAGAACCATAAAATCTGCCAGTCGAGGCTCCTTCTAACCAAATCCCTCCTCAATTTCAGGGTTCGGCACTTTCGGAGATGAACCTGACCAGCCGCAAAGAAAACGGGGATATGTCCAACGGGCACATCAACACAGCATTTTCGTACGGGCCATCCAGAAGCCAATCGGGTAATTTCTTTCTGAGTTCGGGGCACGGATCGGGTAAACTGATGCGCGGTCCCTCCTCCGCTTCCACTAGCAAAACGCAATACTACAATAGAAACTGCGGGATTGGTCCGGATCAGAGGACCACCCCTTCGCAGCATCCCTATTGGAGGTCGGACAAGTGCGAATTCGATGCCTCCTCTTTCAACGAATACGTGGGACGGTCACATCACACGCAATCCGACATAGGAGTCAGCCGCAGGGATTCGCTGACGTTGGAACCAGGAAAGGATCGCTGTGTGACGTCGCCCATGACGTTCTCCACGCAGAGCCTGGAGAGGCCCAAATTCAAGAAGTTAGGAATCGGCCGAAGGTCCAGATCGCTGGAAGAAATGAACGGGCCCACGCTGATCGACGATTACGTTCTGGAGAAAATTAACGAACGCCCTTTTCAATACCTGGAACGACCAGGCAGCATGATGCTGTATGAAGATTCAAGCCCGGATCACAGCATCGGTGACATCGCGCTTTGATCCCTGCCACGGAAAAATGGCGGAAATTCTCCTTACGAGGGTGAAATTTGCATATTCAAGACTCGATTCTTAACGCAGAGAGGAACTTTTGTAAATATCGTAATCGGACATTTCAACTGCCCAATGTTCGAATAAGCAGAGATGCCAAACTAATGCTATTTAAAAGTCATTGCCTCATTAAGTCGTGTTCGTTAATTCACTAAAAAGTTCAATAAATATTTTATTCCATGATTACCACTGTTGATTCTTGATAATTTTGGGCAGGAAATTACTGTTGCAGCGTCCACTCTGTGCATTGCATCTGTCTAAGAGCGCGTCAGGTTGTTACCTATGGTTGTTCACGTCTCATTTGCAATCCGATGAGTTTCCGTCCTAATTCCTCAGCAAGAAAAAATTACTTTGTACATAAGAATTCAGATGCAATTTATCATCAATAATCTTTGGCTTTGTACCCATTGGGAACCGATGCCTTTCTTGTACGGATGATGAGGAAACAAAATTACTTGGCTGGACCATGATTTTCTGTTTATACCACTTATAACACCAAAGATGAGATAAGAGGATAAAACCCATATTTTTGTTAATTCCCTGCTTGTGGTACACACATTAATTTTGCATTTATCTTGTGGACTTCTGACACTCATAATGACAAATTTATTCGAGCTCTTGGATTATTGATTGATGATGATGTAAGTTCACATTATATAGTGAGAATTCGGACACTAGCACACAATACCCGGTCAATTATTCCTCCTGTAGCAGTTTTAATGCAGAGGAAAGGAGTGCATTAAAGAGAAAATAGTATAATGTATTACGGGCAAAGCAAAGTTAACACTGAACACAATTAAGATCTTATTCTCAGATATGTGCCAAACAGCCATGAACAGCCTTTCAGCATGTTCAAGTTGGGATTTGATTCTTTGATATTCAGTTATTTAACTGTATGTTCACGTCCAAAAAGAAATGGAAAACAAAAACCTAGTATTTTATACTAGAGGGAGATCAGAACTTTTCTTAATGTTTTTTTAGTAATTAGTTTACACTCATATTTACCAAAAATTTATTTTTCAACAAAATTCCTATGAACATTCTGTTCCAACGTTCCGTCATTTTAAAAAAAAACGCCATACAAGACTGCATGCTGCTAGGTTGCTGTGGTCTTTTTCCTAAATTTCTCTGTCGCTTCAAATTGTTAGCCACCCAAATATTCTTTTAGAGATTCAAAAAGATAATTGTGTCCTACTGGACCTTTAAAAGAACACTTGTGTGGCAAAACATATTACAACAACTCCGACAACAGTTAATAAATTCATATTAATCATCCACAGAGCTCTTGTAAAAAAGACATAAAACAGAGCACTACCAGATTTTAATCAGTTTGGTAGTATTGAAGCCATAATTTCTAACTTTCCTCGTTGTATAGATTTACATTCTTGCAAATTCGTATGAAATCAATGAATGTGACTCCTGTGAATGTTGTAGAGGTGTGCAAATAAACAGAAAGTTAAGAATACTTAGTCTAAAAAATCCCATAAGGTCATGTAAATATTAACTTCCTACTATATATTATTTAATAACTTATATTACATTATATGTAAATATAATGCTTACGGAAGCCAACTTGAGATCCAATTTGAACAATGGGAGTGGAGGTTTTTGTCCCGGTTTTTGCAATGTCCCAAAATGTCACAAGGTTCTCCAATACTCAATAAATTATTGGGTATAGTGTGTCACACATGGTAAAGTCAGTCCTGATTAATTTGCCGTATTAATGTGCAAACTTAAAAAAAAGATTGAAAAACCCTAAACAAGAAAAGGTTGAACCCGGAACCCTCTGCTTGCCATGTTGATGATGATCATAACCTCATCAAAACATCTTTCTTAATTAAATATTTATTACATATAATGTAACTTACCAAACAATAAAGCAGAAGACTACAATATACTCAGATTTTATTTAGATTTCTTAACACTTCTGCACAAATCTTTCCGACAAGCAACGAATTAACCGCGTGTAGCATTGTCAAGTCGCCCTTCGAAATAAACTATTCGGATACAATTTCTTTAGACGGACGCGATCGCTTAACATCGATAAAGATTTGTCGGTAGCAAAATATTGCATTTAATGTAATTAATTACATAAGTAACTTTGATGCTTTGAGAACTTTGTATAAAATACTTTACATGGATATAAAATTTTCTGTAAGAGCAATTATTGCCGCATGATGCCCACAACAGAATAAACTACATAGTTTAATGTACAGAGGAAATGGCAGCTCGTAAATAGATTCCGCATTGCAAAGACGAATACGTTTGCAGTCTCTTAGAATTCTTAAGTCGATCCTGCTTCGCATAGAACGATGGCAGTCTTGTTATTTGGAACATTATAATGAATGGATGGAATGGATTTTTTTCCTTCAAAAATATATAATTTTGATATGGTGCCTTTATATATCTATAGATTATATTTCAAAATATATTATACAACTATTTACAATGAGATGTGACTGCATTAATGAACTTGGCACATAATTGTCTGGCATAATAATATTAAAACAAAATAAGCATATTAATTATATATAAGAAATCTAGAGATCGTTACAAAAATATTATATTGAACCTAATATTTACAACTTCACTGTCTCTGACAGTCGGTCTCTTGATAGTCGCACGTTGGCGACTCCTCGATACATCATCACGTTTGCAGCCACTCTTCCTCGCAACCAGGAAGATGCTCGTGTGCAACTGACCAGCAGTCAAATTATCACGCAGAAATTTTGACATATTAAATATGCAATCTGACATTTGTATGCGGATGTTACAATGGTTACGGGAAGTTGCTTACATTTAGAAGTAATGACGTGTTGATTCAATTTTTTAGAGAACTAAAACATTCTCATCGATGATGGATCTGGAAATAGTTCTTTCGTAATATATATATGTGTCATTATATATATATATCTAATTCCAGAAATATAAAAACTATACTTTGTAAATCACAGAAATGCCGAAAAGTGTTGTTTGTTTACAAAACTTTTCGTAAGGAATGGTGCTTGCTAAAGTGAGAAATTGGCTTCCGGTTCTCACTCTACAATTAATTACAGATTTTACCTAATCAAGCAATATCTATCTTTCCCTTCCATCAAGGTTGACGTGAACGTTTTCTCTACTGCTGTGCCTGGCAAGAATGTTGCTCCTCGATCGGCTCCGTGACAGCTGGGCTCTTCGTTCCGCTGAGAAATACAGTGTAGAAAATACTTTAAAATTGTAATAATTACAAAATACAATAACTGTAACATTACTTATATTATATAATGCTACTTAGTCCATGGGACAATGCAGTCGAAACAAAGTTGATGTATCCAAATTTGTGATTGTTATTGCTTTTAATATACATCATAGAGGTGATAAAGGCTGCAGCTCTGCAAACTGGGTTTGGGTATGGATTGGCTCAAATTTTTGTGGTTATATTGAGCCCTATCCCTAATCATCAGCCATCCCAACTGTGGCACAAGAAAACCCCATTGCATCCAGGACATAGATATTTGTATTTCCAACGCCTCTACTGTGTAAGATTTGTCAACATCTATTCTGGCTAGACACTGCAATGCCAGATTTCATTTTAACTGCATTGTCCCATTGCAAAGAAATGGAAAAAATAAAAATATGCAAATTGGAATAACACTTTGATCAGATAAAGCAAATGAAGTGTGGAACGGAATTGAAAGCAATGAAATAAAAGCAGAAAAACAGCCACCAGAAGGAGAAAGCAAGCTAAAGACACTACTGTAGATAACTGTACAATTAATCAGAATCTGAAAGAACAAAAACAGATTTTTAAGATAATTTTACATGCACAAGCACTATGCTTTAAATGCAACTACACATTCTTAGACTATTTACCTCCCGCAGCACGCGGTGCCTTTTTCCTCGGCTTGTGCGAAAACGCAGAGCCCGTCTTCAGAGCTTCCAACAGACTATCCATGACACCTTCTTGATCTTCTCCTAAAATTACAATTAAATTTATTAAGCCCATCTCTTAAAGAGGCACATCATATTTGAAAGTAAAACTACTGAAGAGATAACAATACCCGAACTGATGTCGACCAGTTGCTTTTTCTTGGCCAGCCTTTCCTGCTTCTCCTTTTCGGCCTTCTCCTTTGCCTCTTTCGCCCGTCTTATCTTTTCTTCGGCCTCACGCATCTTCACATTGTCTTTGTAGGCTTCCTAAAATTGATTGACAAGATTTATTTACATTCAATTACTCCATTTCCAGATTTTAATAATTGAAGAGTAATTAAGTAATAAACTGATTAATAAGAATTATTTATCCCCAGAAACCCATTAAATAGAACCATCAACAGAAATCATAATGAACTTTATTTGTATTCATTTGGGTGGTTCATATGTAGGTCAGTACGAAAAATTAAACCAAAACTGGTTTCTACAGGTATTTGGTCAATACATGCTCTGAAACACTACCCAATGTACTTATAGCTGTCAAGGTAAAGTGCAACAAAGATAAATAAGTTTACATACACTCATTTTTAAAAGGTTACAAAATTATTTCTACTTTTTCAGTAAGGAAAACAGTTGGAAATAAAATATTTTGGTAATGATTTACAACACACTGTTTACATTAAGAGCTTCCAGATAGCTAACTGCATCCATTATACAATCAGGAGCGGCCAACTACACATATTTTGCAAGCTTGACCCATTTAAAGAATCAATATTGGCAAGTAATTACAAGTTATAAGTTGTCTAGCTCCTTGAGCTAGACAACTTATAATTTGGAGGGATAAGACAAGACATATTACAAGTGGAAAGTGAGGACCCCCAGAAATACTGTCAGAAAAAAGCAGCTCATAAAAATATTTAAAAATCAGAATACAGTCAAAGTTAGGAGCTACTTAAAGAAAGGAGGTCCAATCTAAACCTGACCACTCTCCATTATCAATATGTGGCAAATTAGAAAGTTTGTTTAGTAATAAATACACTTCATTAATAGCTGCAACAATCTTCGACGTAGAGATGGCACTGGCAGACAAAACAGATGACATCTGGGAGAAAAGGGAAGGTCTTTTTTCTTCTCTGATGTTGCTTTAGAATTAACCTAAAATGTCAGGCTTCCAAACTATAAATAAAAACTTTTGTATTTATTTGCCATTCAATTATTTCTAAATTGTGTTCTCTATCAATACAAAGTGACAATGCAAGTCATTTTGACATACTTAAGAGGCCTAAAAGTATCAGAAACCAATTTTTACTACTATGTACTGTACTTCAACTCCAATAAAGTAATTTTTTGAGTGATTTCAAGATTAGAATATTAAAGAGAACTCCAACAATTTAAAAAATGAAGATATTTTTGTCTCATAAAGTCCTTTCAGCAAAATTTAAAAAAAAATTGACAGTTATCTATACAAAACAACAAAGTTTGCAGGTGTGAGGCCCCAGAAATAGTTTGTATTTAAAAGAAAGGTATAATTTAATTAATTAACAAACAATGAAAAAACAGGTTACATAAGTGTCGAACCAGAGACATCAGACTTTGACATTGCGCTCATATAAAATAGAGAAAAGGAGAGGAATCAAAGATTGAAGAAAAAAAAAGAAAAAGGAAATTGTTTAAAGCTTAAAATGCAACATGGAAAAGTAAGCAATGAGATGCAATATGAGCACAAGTATCTTAGTCATCAGTAAGTCATGTATGGAGTCAAATGGATAGTGTTGGATAAACCATCCTGGGCAGACCTTTCATATGACCCAAACTGGTCTCGAATTCAACCTGGAGATGAGAGACCAATAGGGAAACAAGGAAGGGGATGTCTGATCAATGAAAAGTAGATACTGGGGGGGGGGAAAAAGGTATAAAAAGCCCTATGTGTGGAAGAACCCTCTTGGTCATCTTAGGTGTCATCATCTTCGACTTTGTGCGAACACTGAAAAACATCGTTGCCTCCTCCCACAACAACTTCCATTGCTCAAAACAACAAATTCAAACTCCTGACTATCTCACTGCTACCCCGGGGCTGCCCATTCAAGCATCAATCAACAGAACCCAAACTGAAACCGACTCCAAGGCGCCATACTATTATTTGGACTCAAATTTTTGGATGTAAGCATGACCTTTAACCAAATAAATAGTTTTATGTGAGAACACTTGTCTTTCATTTTCTACAGAACCACCATGCACATACACAAGGGCCCTAGAGCAATCCTGACAAGGGAGTAAATTCCCCCCTCTAATCAGCATACTTACACAGTTATAAAAGATTTATGTTAATATTGAAGATGGTCTGTTCTATTTATTAATTTTAACTTGAAATATTTTAAATTCTCCTACATCTTTATTATTTAATTTAGAGTTTAAAAAAAAAAATACACATAATATACTCTATAACTGCAAAAATATATTACTGTTTAAGCAAATGCGGCAACAAAACCCACGAGTGGGATTGTCGCTGCACACTCGCAGGTGTTAGGTGCAGCTGTTTGACATTCGTCTGGTGGAGTATTTATTCAATTTTGTATCAAATTTAGCAGTAATACAAATTGGTAAAAACTAAAAAACTAGTTTTTACCAATTTGTAATACTGCTAATTTTGTTTCCTTTTTTTACGAAAAAATTACAACAAATTTAGATTCTGTCATCACAAGGTTATACATAACTCCACAACTCATTTAAGTTAGTGCAAAGAATTGTAGAAGAGGTTAAGACAGAAACCAGCATGTAAATAATAAACTTTATTAAAATGTGCTGTTTACTATATACTAAAATACTGATTTCTTTATAACAAAAATGCAATACTATAACAGAGGAGAGGGTATATATTAAGACAGAATTTAACCAAAGAAATAATAAGTTCACTTCACCTCTTCCTAATCAGGACAATATGACATGCATACACTGTATTGTATACAGAATGAACCGTTGAGACACTGGAATATCCCAGAAACAAAACACCCCAGACAAAAATGTAAACAACGGTTGTTCAGTTGTAAAGGGGAAAGAAAACCAATGACCTTTAACTAACCTCTAAGATAATAAATCAATAATGCAGTTTCCTTCTCCTTTACAATCAAATAACTGTTGTTTATGACATTTTTGTCTTGGATGTTTTGTTTCAGGGTTATTCCGGTGTCTCGACTTAAATGGTTTGCCCCGTATACATGTACACAAAGTTGTGTTCATAGTTAATCAAAATACCCAAGTAAAATGCATTTTTCAGAATAACTAGTGCTTTAAATTGTATTTTTACTAATTTTTCTTTAGAAATCAACACTGTATGATAAACAAAGTTAAAAAGAATGAAAATTTTTTTTATGCTAAACCAAATCTATATCTTTTGTTTGTTGTGTAACTAATTTTGATGCCCAATGTATCAGATAAGGATATAGCATTGAACGCATGTTTTCGTAATACAGGGTCTTCCAAAAAGAATTCTACCATCTTAAATTATTTGTAATTATGTTAATTATTATCCAAGAATGTTGTGATGTACATTAAAACATGGGAAAACTTTTCAATTTTTACATCTGACATTATAATTTCTCAATATGTGTACCTCGTGTCAAACGGCACACATCTGACTGATACTCAAATTCTTCCTATGCTTGCTATGTATATCCATTGTCATTCCTCACAGCAGCCATAATTCTATGGCTCCTGTAGATTACTCATATTGCACAATGACAAATGATTCATTGAACTTTGTGAAATGCAGAACACAAAACACCTCATCTGTTGTGGAGTCACCATTTTTATTCATGGTACTTACTAGAGGTAGTAAGTAAATGACAAGATATTTGAGTGCAGACGGAAGAAACTCAAATGGTTACTCTATTGATTTGTATATGTTGCATATTTCTAATATAATAATTAACATAATTACAGTAATTTAAAATGGTAGCATTCATTTCGGAAGATACTGTATTGCTTTAAACTTTATGTTCTACTTCAGTTTTATTTGCTTACAGTATATATAAGTGTACAGTAGAGTGTCGTTTATCCAAATCAATTGGGGACTGGGTTGTTTAATATGGGGTGACTGGATAACTTATTTTTCGGATAACCGATTATGTACCAAAATTTTTCTCCATTGCTTGTCATTTCGTGTTGCATTTTTGTCAATTTTCGCAAGCTTAACGTAAATTTTTTTAAATAATAATCGTGGCTATTGTATTGTTAAAAATTATTTCTTTATTTTATACAAACAAAATAAATATATTGAAAAATATAAAAACAAAAAAAAAAAAAACTTTAGAAGTTAATCTAAAACATTCGATTCAGCACGACACAGTCCAACTAGAACGCTTTCAGTTGATTGGCTTTTGAATAAACGACACTCTATTGTACTTTATTACAATACCTTGAATAAATCAGATTGAAGAATATACATTCAAAGATCTATTATAAAAGTTAATTCTGATAAAATGATTTCAAAATTGTTTAGACAAAATAATATTAAAACAAGTATAGAAAAATGTATAATAAAGTGTAATTAACCTCAACTAGATGTAAATACCAATAAACCAATAAAATTAAAAGAAATAAAGCAAAAACAAATGTTTTATTCTGTTTTAAATGTTTTATTCTGTTTATTGGTATTTACGTCTAGTTGAGGTTAATTATATTGATTTATACCAGTAGTTTCGTAGAGATTGTATGTCCAACCAAATTATATTACCTGAAAAGTATCTTTGAAAGTTTTGATGTCGCCAAAGAAATCATCCAGTGAATACTTCTTAGTATCGAACACAAAGAATTCTGCCAGTTCCTCGTATAATTTTTCCATCTTCTTAAACATATTTTGCAAGACTTCATACTGTGTTGATGCCTGGGAAACAAAAGACTGAGACTCGCTAAGGACAAACTATTCTGAAATTTACACAACCAATAAAATCAGATTACACAATCTTGACAACTTTCAAATTTGTCTTTGGATGTTCTTAACAAAATGATATTTATCATTATTGAAATGAAACTTGGATGTAATAAAACTTCAATGTACAGTACATCAATGCTCAAGTTACTAAACAAGAAATGCATAATCCTTTAATAAATTTTAATAGAATTTACATGTTAAATGCATTAGAATGTATTGCATTAATGCAAATTATATCCAAGTGGCACACACAAATTTAACAATAAAATACTCTCAATAAAGCTCGCAATTATTCCAGACAGCAATACAAACTCAACAAGCTGCAAATACGGCTGTA